AATAAGGTGGCCAGCCTGGGAGGTGGCAGGGGCCACGTGGCATGGGGACAGAGGGTGTGCAGATTCAGCTGCAAAGTTCAGAACATAGTATCAGATGGGTAAGGCAGCCCTCAGCTCTCAGCACCATGGTCAAGAGAAACCAAAAAATAAGCAGTACCTAGAGATCTTTGTGTGTCTTTGTTTCCTTCACTTGTAAAATGTGGATAATTCAGGACTTAGGAAATTTGTTTGTGAAGATTAAACTTGTAAATACACATGAAGTACCTAGGATGGTGCCTGGTGCATAGTAAGGTTGCATTAATGTGTGAAATAGAATTATTGTCATTGTTTTCATCAGCAGAAAATGGAGACTAAGGTAGATTCTGGGCCTCAGGACCAGGGAGCAGGAATGGGAGATCGAAGGCAGGGGGCAGGTGTGGCTTAACCTTGAGGAAGAAGCCTGAGCTGGAGCTCCTGAATTCGTTCCTGCTCAAGGCCCACATTGATCTTGGAGGGAAACTGAGCTGAGCTTGAAGCAGAGGGTCTAATGAACCTCAGTGTGGGGATACAGGGCAGCAGAAGCCGAGAACCGATTGCTACAAGTGTTTTCTCCAATTGCACTCACGTCTGTATGGCTCCCCTTCTGACAACACCATCAAGCCCCAGGAGAAGGGGTTGTATGACCGTCTGGGAGAGGGGCTAGTGCCCATGTTAACTGTCTTAGACTCAAAGTCCCTAGAAGGCAAGGCTTGGTTGTGCCTTAGGCTATGACTCTGCCAGTCATTTTATGTCACAGCTGATTAGGTGTTTAAGAAAGGATTTGAGGTAGATCTTTCCCTTCAGGGTAGTGGCAGAGCTAACACAGGTAATTTTCACTATTCATATCAGTTCAGTTCCTTAATATCCATCATTGGTGAATCTCAAAGATTAACGCATTGAAAATATTTCCACTACATTTATGGTGGCTGTGTAGTTTCTTACAGTTCCCAGGGATAACATGATAGCTATTTTACAGTGACAATATTCATTCAGCTATTTAATTCATGGAACAGTCATTGAGTGCCTACTAGAGGTCAGAAATGGTACTTGATACTCAAGATACAGCAGAAGAATGTGATGCGGTTCCTGGTCTCAAGGTCTCACAGTCTAGCGCAGGGACGGAGATAAGTTGGCAAAGTTCAGGGAAAGTGCTGCTAAGAGAGCAAATATGAAGTGCTATCAGTCTCTAAGGATGATCTACTCAGGGGCTCGAGAATCATGGTCGAGAAGAGTTTCGCAGGAGGTGATAGAAAGAATTATATGGTCTTAAAAGACAAGGGGTTTATCTGGCAGAGAAAGAAAAAGAGGAACTCCAGCAGAGAGGCCACTTGGGCAAAGGGAAAGGCAGAGAACACGTGTATTAAGGGGTTGATGCGGAAGTAGAAAAGTGGGAGAAATAGAATTGGGGAGGTAAATAAAGGCCATATCACTAAAGAGCCTGTATGGACAACTTGAAAGTTGGACTTTATCAGAAATTGTTGGAGAAAGTGAAACAAGAAGATGACATTGTCAGATTTGCCGTTGAGAATGAGAATGTTCTTTCTGATGACAGTGGGAGAATGCAATGGATAAGAACAAAATACGACACAGGGAGACCGGGCGTGCTGTTAAGAGACTATCTCAATGTCCATGCTATAAATGATAAGGAGCTGAGCTGGAACAGGGCAGTGGGTGTGAAAGGAAGGACTCAAGGTAAAAAAAAAAAATCATTTAGGTGGTAAATCGAAAGGACTTGGCGGCCAACTGGATGTCTAAAGTGAAAGGTAAGTACTTTAATGCCAAATATGTTTGCTATTAGTTACCCCAGTCCACAATGCATATTCTTCCTTCACGTCCTATCTGGGGATCCATAGCCGTCCTATCTGGGGATCCATAGCCAATTTTGCTCCAATAGCCCCTAGAGTTAAAAATGAAAGTGGTAGATGTGCTGGAACAAGAAAAGAATACACTTTAAGGAAGTTTTAGATTTTATTAGAGTCGTTTATTTCTCCATTTAAATGTCTGGAAAGCCCAATGTGGTCCACTAACTGAAATTTTGTCAGTAGACCTAATGGTGAAGCCAGAGTCATAGCCTTACTCTTTAGATAACTGTGTCCCAAATTTAATGTGCAGACAAATCACCTGCTAAACCCAGATCTGATTCAGTGGGCCTGGGGTGAGGTTTGGGATGCACCAGTTTAACAAAGCTCCCAGGTGCATTGATGCACTTGACCATAGTTTGGGTATTAAGTCTCTAGATTGTTTCACAAAGAGGGAAATAGACTTGCCAGTGAGATGAAGTGGCCACAGCCAGATTGCAGTGATAGAGAAAAACAGCCCAAGTCTCAGATGCTGCTGCTGCCCCCTGTCTTCCAGCTCCTGTTTGGGTGGGGAATGGGGTCTGTACAAAAACAAAGCTGGTGGAGTTCATATACAGTCATATAGAGTCTGAGCTAATAACGTTGTCCTGATGTTCCACAAAAGAGCCACACAGAGTTTTCCCATTTGCTGTCCCAGCATGTCTCGCTGAGTAATCAAACCCTGACTCAAACCCATAAATAACCCCAACCACTGGCCTACCGACAGTCCCACCCAGCCAAAACGGGAGAGAGTTAAGTTTTGTTGAACTTGTGATGGGGTTGAGGAATATTTTGAGTTTAGAGTTATAAAAAGCTCTTTGTAGCAATTGCAATATTTATATACCTGTCACCAGAGATAAACAAGACTGGCAATTTGTAAACTGACTCCTTCTTACCTTAGGAGTCAACACTCATCCGTGTTTGGCCTCTGCTCACTGACCATGCGGTGCCTGAATTCCAGTGTGTTGATAGACATCAGTCTTTGATTATGAAACCATAAGTGTTAGGGACCAGACGCCAGGGGTTGGCATTGCCTGGTGAGACGCCGACAATGACAAGTGGCCCTGGGTGGCTCAGATTCAACCTGGCCTGCTCTGGTTGCCTGAAATGGAGAGGAAGTTTTGCTGTAGAGAGCCTGCAGGAGGCTTTGAGGTTGAGAGGAGCCTGGTATGAGGAAAAGTACTGTCTTGGGGATCAGAAAACTGGTTCCAACGCAGCAATATTTGGCTGTATGATTTTAGATGAAGCATTTGGTCTTTGTTGGTCTTGGTTTCTCCCTCTGAGAAATAAGGACATACACTACATCAGTGGTCTTCAAACGGTTCCTTGCAGAGAATTCCCTGGCCCCAGGTTTTGGAAGGGTGCCGAGAGGGTCAGGCAGGATCTCCCCTAATCCTGGATCATGGGAGTTGATCGGTTCCCAACATGCACATGCCTTGATTCTTGGTGGCATGGTAACTGTTTCCCATTCCATAGAAGTATATCCATTTGTGAGACCATTGATGTTGGTTTTGGGCTTTCTACAAGAGTCTTTTATGTACTCAGTACTGGTAAAATTCTGGAGGATAATAACCATTTAACCCAGGAATTCCACTCCTAGGAATTTACCTGAAGAAAACAAGGTCACCGATTCAAAAAGACATATGCACCCCTATGTTTATCGCCACACTATTTACAATAGCCAAAACATGGAAGCAACCTAAGTGTCCATCAGTAGATGAATGGATAATGCAGATGTGGTACATATACACAATGGAATATTACTCAGCCATAAGAAAAAAATAAATCTACCATTTGCAACAACCTGGATGAAGCTAGGGGGTATTATGCTCAGTGAAATAAGCCAGGCAGAGAAAGACAAGTACCAAATGATTTCCTTCATTTGTGGAGTATAACAACGAAGCAAAACCTGAAGGAGCAAAACAGCAGCAGACTCACAGACTTCAAGAAGGGACTAGTGGTTACCAAAGGGAAGGGGTAGGGAGGGTGGAGAGGGTGGGGAGGGAAAAAGGGATTAAGGGGCATTATGCTTAGCACACATAATGTAGGGGGGCGGGCACGGGGAAGGCAGTGTAGCACAGAGAAGACAAGTAGTGACTCTATAGCTTCTTACTATGCTGATGGACAGTGACTGTAATGGGGTATGTGGTGGGGACTTGATAATAGGGTGGAATGTAGTAACCACAATGTGGCTCGTGTGAAACCTTCATAAGATTATATATCAATGATACCTTAATAAAAAAAACTGAAAAAAAATTCAGGAGGGTAAGAAGTCTTTCAAAAAAAATAACTCTCATGCTGCCCTCAGGAATCCTATGATCAGGGATCACACACATGGAGAATACTTAGAAGAAAGCATATTGACTATACAAATGTGACAGCATCTACTGCATCTCCAGGATATACCTCAACTTAAGTTGATTTCTGAAAAGTCAGCTGCAGAATTAATTTTAGTAAACCAAACCAGAACCAACCTACTTTTTCAATATTGCATCTGTTTGGATACCTGGACCATAAGCTGGAGTTAACAGCTTGTACAACCATTTATAGAGTTGTCTTTATCTCACAATATTTCTTCTAAGTACCCTATGATTTTTATCAACTCATTGGAAAGAGGTTTACCTGCTTCCACCATCTCCATTGTGTATTTATATGTGTTAAACTTCTTTCTGTGAACTACACTAAAAGGATTGGTACTATACTATTATTTCTCTAACTTTGATTTTCCCAGAGTGGCTTTCCTTCAGCAGGATATGTGGGTATGTAAATGCTGAAGTGCCTAGGAGCAAAGTTCAATCAAAGTGGCTATTTATATACAACTTGTACATACAATGGAGAATTTCACAAAGGATTTCCCCTTGTATCGCTGACAACGGTGCCTTGAAAACAGCAGGCACACTTGTTGAGTGACTGAATGACCATTCATCCATTTACTTGTTCCATGGAGTTGACCCCATCACAGAGCTTTGTATGAATTACTGTTTTCTTCTTTGGAGAACTGAAATGAAGTTATTCTCCTCTTAATAACTATACTCTCACCTTGATTTACTCAGCCAGCTGGGACTTCATATTTACCTGGCTTTGAAGATCAGTCTTTAGGCAGAGGCTATACACTGTCATTCTACTGTTTCATTTCCTCAATAGGATTCTCCTCTTTGGCTCTTCCCCTTGACCACAGAAGAATCATTGAACAGAGAGGCTACTGACAAAAAATGGACACTTTTGATGTGAATAGGGGTAAGTCATGATTAGCTAACAAAAGCTTGATTCTCAAGAACACAGTGAAATCTAGGGGATTTTCATCATACTGAATATGGTTCTTTATTGGATTATATCAGAATATTCAAGTTCAAAATCATGAGCAAAGTATGAATTGTTTAGTTATTTTTTATCCTACAAGCAAAGACCTGATTGAAATTTGATATCAGAAGATTGATAAACTGGGCTTGAGAGCATCTCCAAGAAATAGCATTACATTCCTGCCTTCCAGGAGATGGAGAATTGGCGATTTAAAGCAAGGTGTATGCAGGAGGTGATTAATAAACTATAAAAAGAATGGGATTCCAGACTTTAGGAAATTGCTCTAGAACTGAAAGAGTGCATGAGTCCAATTAGCTAAGAAAAATAAACATAAGTTATAATGAGACACCAGCGAAGATATACTAGGAGGAGGAAGGAGAAGATGGGGCTTGTCTCCTTGCTGACCTTGAACCTCTTTGGACCTTAGCAATGCCCTTTCATAGACTAAGGACAGGAGTACCTGCCCCTCACTTTTCAGTGGTCTTTGAAGGTTTGTAGAGATAATGACAATGAGAGCATTATAATGATAAAAATGTTACAGATACACAGTGACATATCACGATGGGCCATGGCAAAAGCACAGGTGTTAAAGCTGCACAGATGATTGTTCAAATCTCAAGCTCTACCACTGTTTGTGATACTTATGAGAAAGGCACTCAGCTTTCTTTAGCTATGAAAAGCCATGAAGGCTTCCCTTTTCAAATGGGGATATTGAAGTTGTTGGGTGTAAAAAATATAATTTAAATATAGGGCTTTTAAATACATACATACTTAAATATACCGTAGACCTTGTCTTATTGAACTCAAGGTTCTCATCACCATCATCACAGGTAAGAAATAAGAAGGCTAGTTCTTGAGTATTCATTTACTCAACAGGTATTTTGAGTGTTCACTATGTACACTAGAAATTAGATGTGATTTAATGTCAGCTTATGATTTCAGTGGAGACAATATGAAATCATTTCAATGCATATCAGGTAATGCACTACACGTAAAAAGTTGGAGTCCATAATTGACCAATAAGCTTTAAGTTGCACACAAACTGTGTGTTGCTTTGTTTGTTTCTAGATTTGTACAATAAGCATTTATGTTCTCACACAGTCTTCCCTGTGATTAGCAACTTATTGGTAAGAAGGTTGTACAGTGAGGTAAAACTGGAGCATAGCTAATAAGTTATGGGCTCCCTGAGGACAAAAACTGTGTCATAGTTAAGAGAGCCTTTCAGTGCCTAGGAAGAGTGTATAGACTTTGGATTTTATTCTGGAAGACACGGAAGCCATTTGAAAGCCTTGAGCACAGAGTATCATGAACTGACGATATCTGAAAAGACTTACTCTGCCTATATGTGGAGAAAAGATGGTGAAGGGGACAAGGATAAAGTCAGAGAGACCACTGGATGAGTATTGCAATAATAAAGGGGGAACGCGGTAGCGATTTGGTCTTGAATGACTGGACTAGGAGGTGGTGATGAATATCAAACTCTGGATCTGATTTGAAGATGGAATTACAGAATGTGTTGGTGGATTTTAGTGTGGTGTGAGGAAGAGAAATCAAGCCTGCGTCCCAGGATTTTGTACTGAGCAATGCGGGGGATGATACTGCCGCTGAGATGAGGGGGACTGGGAGTAAATGGGGGGAATTTTGGATGGTAAGCTCAAGAATACAGTTTTGTACAACTTAAATTGAGATGTATCTTAGATGCCCAAGTGAAAATGCAGAGCTGACAATTAGATATTTGGGTTTGAGGGGAAATGTTGAGGCAGGAGATGAAAATTGGACAGTCATTGGAGCAGATGGTACTCGGTGTCAAGGGGCTGGAAGAGATTGCTAGAGAGCAGAGGTAGAGAGAAAAGACGAGGTCCCAAGACTGAGCTCCAGAGCACTTCAGTGTTTAGAGGTCAGAAAGGTGACAAGGAACCAGCAAAGGGAGACCAAAGGGAACCAAAAGGGAGGAAGGGAACCTAAAGAAAGATTGGCGTCTCAGAGATGAGGAACAGGACAACAAAGTAAAGATGTTCTAAGGAGAAGAGAAAGTGCCCAGTACTGCTCATAAGCAAACGAGATGAGGACTGAGGATGGATCTCTGACTTTGGCAATTAAAGTGAATCTTCACTGATAACCTTGATAAAAGCTGTGATGTTGGCAAGATTGAAAAGATAACCTGTCTGGCATGTGTTCAGAAGACGAAGAGAAACAGACACTGAGAACAGACAGCTATTACAAGGGTTTGGCTATAAGCGAGGAACACAGTGGGACTCAACACATGGATGACTCAAGGAAAATGTAGGCTCTAAGCAGGGATGATATTAATACAAGGCACACCTCACTTAGTACACTTCACAGATATTGCATTTTTTTAAAAATAAATTGAAGGTCTGTGTCAATCCCAAGTTGAGCGAGTCTATCAGCTCCATTTTTCCAACAGCATCTGCTCACATGTGTCTGTCTCTGTGTCACATTTTGGTAATTCTCACATTTCAGACCTTTTCATTATTATTATATTATGGTGATCTGTGACTTGGATTCTTTCATGTTACTAATGTAATCGTTTTGGGGTGCCTATGCCTGTAGAAGACGGCTAACTTAATAGATAAATGTTGTGTGTGCTTTGATTGGCCATTCCCCTTGTCTCTCTCCCTCTCCTTGGGCCTCTCTATTCCCTGAGACACAGAGACATTGAAATTAGGCTAAGTAATAACCCTTCAATGGCCTCCAAGTGTTCACATGAAAGGAAGAGTCATTGATGTGGCCAACTGCACTGCTGTCTTATTTTAAGAAATGGCCACAGCCACCCCAGCCTTCAGCCACCACCACGCTGATCAGTCAGCAGCCATCAGCATCGAGGCAAAACCCTCCACTGGCAAAAAAGATTGTGACTTGCTGAAAGTTCAGATGATAATTAGCATTTTTTAGCAATGAAGTACTTCCAATGAAGACATGTACATTGTTTTTTTTTTAGACATAATGCTGTTGCACACTTAGTAGACTACAGTATAGCGTGAGCATAATTTTATATGCCCTGGGAAACCAGAAGTTTCATATGACTCACTCTATTGTGATAGTCCCTTGATTGTGGTGGGCTGGAAGCAAACCCACAGTATCTCCAAGGTGTGCCTTAAATACAGCCCCTGCACAGACACATCAGATTGGATGCTGGTTATAGGTCTGGTCTGGAGCGGAATCTCAGAGGGCCCTGCTGATCCAGCCTTTAACTCCTTGGTTGCTGGATTTTGGAGTGTCTGAGAGGTCCAAGGGGAGAAGTTGTGTTGAAAAAAGTGGGAGGTGGATACTTGGAAGGCTGAGCATGTGGGGGTGGGTGGTGTTTATCAACAGGTCCAGACGTGTTTTGTACTTTAATGATCAGCAAGGTTGTACCAGTGTGTGTCAGCTAAATATCAGCCTGGGACCTGGAAAGAGGTTTTTTTCTTTATCATCTTCATCTTTTAAGATGAGGGTATTGCAGCGTATTTTCATGATGGTGAAAACGACCAGAAGAGAGGGTGAATTTGAAAATCTGATGATGTAAGAGAACAAGGTGAGAATTAGAGGAGATCCTTGAGTTGGTGAGTGGGGATGGGCTAGTACCTAAACGACTGGGTTGATTTTGATGGCAATGTAATCTCTCAGTTCCTTCTAACAGGAAGGAGCACAGATAGGGGCACAGACACAGGTTAGCTGTTAAGTGGTGGTAGAGGGCATGTAGAATTTCTTTCCTGGTTGCTTCAATTTTCTCTGTCAAAGGAAATTTATTACAGCTCAGAATTTCCTCTTCCCCAAGATGACTAGGCATGCATATTTTAAAGGTTTAGATTTATGTAGAATTCTGCGGAAATGCTAGTCACTAGACTAACTTTTGATTTAGAATCTGCATCTTCCATCCAGCTGAGGAATGTTGGTCCTTTCTCATTCCATGGATTATGATGTTTGGAGCCTGTTTGGGATATGATGAACCCTGGCCCTCTAGCGCCCCGCTTTGTTCCGGAGTGGCCCGGAAAGGAAACATGTGGGCCTGGTCAGTGATGTATCCAGGGCCAACGGAGACCCTGACGCAGGGTAGGTGTTCAAGAAATATTTGTTAAATGAGGGACAGAAGGAAGGAAGGAGGGAACGGAGGGAGGGAAGGAGGAAGTATTGATTTAATTTGCGTCTAGAAAGGACACCACTAATGTAGCCTAGTGTTTCTGCTCAGGAGATTCACATCTTGTTTATAACTAATTCCTCTGCTGGATATTTGGCGTTCCAGGATTTTTTCCTAGTTCCAGGAATACATCCAGAATGGCTGAAGGATGACAGTGTTTGATTTCTTGCCTCTCTCTCTGCCTCTGAAGTTAATATGATGCTATCTGAGTGCAAAGTCACAGACAGGAAAGAATTTAATGCTGATTTAGTCAGGAGTCGAGTGCCACTTCACAAAATATTGATTAGGTGTCTGATTTGCTCTCCCCTGACAATGGGCCGTCGGAATAAACCAATGAGGTAGGCTCAATTCTAGCTCGTCATGGTCATTCGATAAAGCCAGACAACCAATGAGGAGCAGCTACCTTTTGATTGGGCGAGAGGCCAGCAAGGGGGGGGGAAACCATCTTAGCAACAGCAGAAAATATTGCACACGCCCTTGCACACACGCACGGACGCAGACACCGCGCTTTGCCGCCCTGCTGCAGCGAATGGTTTCTGCTAGTGTCTCTTAAGGCCTTTGTTTCTCCACAGGACCAGTTTCTGTTCACAGATCACACTGCTTACCTGGTCAGTCAGCCCATAATCCTTTTTTAATGGAACGAAGGGGCCACTTTCCTCCCTTCTGCCCCCTCCAGGATGCATCTTATTAACAGCGAACTTTGATGTGCAGGTAAACGGCACGGGCTTTGTTCTTGAAATGCACTGCTCTGAGCCCTTTCAGGGAGCCACCGCACACCCCTGCCCTTCAGGACCTGCCG